TATAAATTATGCCTCGCAGTATTAAACAAACTCATGTTGGGTCACTGCGCGTTAGCAGCCACTCACCGCAGTGAGCAGCGACATGCAGAGGAGTGTAACCCCGGTCATCTCTGGAGAACGGCGTGACGACGGACGGGTCGTTGAGCCGCCTGAAACATGGCGCCAACACTCAGAGTCAGTCTACGGTCAATAATGGCTGAACGCGTTAAACAAGCTAGCTTATTGGTCAAAGGTTAGAGGGAGCTTTCAGGAAGTAACCAGTGAGGCTCAATCAGACTCTGCCGTCTGATTATTACTTCAGAGCTTCAGCTGCGACAGGTGGGTGTGGCCGACAGGTGGCGCTTTCTCCTAGGCCTCACTTTAGCTAACAGGACTGCACAGCGTTTGTGGTGCAGCTACATTTTTGAGTATTTTCGTTTTTAATGGGCCATTGCATAACGGTCTGAAATACACTTTTAGTGTGAGTGTGTGTGTGTGTCTGGGGGTTTCAGTGGGAAGTGAAAATACAAATGGTTTTTAATCCTGATTCGAAGCTCTGATGCACAAAAAAAAAAATGGAGAAAAGGGGAAGTGATGATCAGCATCAGGCATCACATCAGTTTTTCTCTGCATATGTGCAAAGGCAAAGTCAGCCTTAGAGGGAATTTCCAGCTTCACAGTCAATAATCAGTGTGTCATAAACTCCAGGCAGGTCATATCAAATCTGTACCGTGGAGCCTTTACTCTTCTTTATTCTTCGTTATTTTCATGTGAATGCTTTGACGTACTCTCTGTACCTCTGCGTGTTTGTCTATGTGAGTCTGGACACTGACCCGGACAGCTGGAGGTCACAGAGGTCACAGGAGCAGAGAGGATGACACATCTTCACATCTTCATCGGCCTCTCCATCACTCAGCAGGCGTTCAACCTCCTCTTCATTTCCATTTGCTATGTGCTACAAAACACACAGGAGCAAACTGAGCATTAGCAAAATCTCGCCACTAGATGTCAGAAGACTGCAGATTGCCGTCAAATGAGTGTTCTTTGGTATAGTGGAGGGTATAGGATAAACATGTTAGCCAAGAGAGATCAAAAACATTAAATTCAGACTTTCAGAGCGTACCCCATAACAGCCGCAGCCAGCGAGCATGTTGCTATCACTGTTTGGGGAGTGGATCCATCCAGATGCAACCCACATCTGTCTGCTGTTTACCTCAGCTGTCAATGCTGGGTGAGAAGCGTCCACCTTTATTTACTCTGGAGGAGTCAGGAGTCACTTTTGACTGCTGACAGTGTTACTGAGGTAAACCTTTCTGTTGGTAAGCTGCTGTGTTTTTGCTGCTGTTAGCTATTGTGTTTTTGCTGCTGTTAGCCTCTGTTAGCTATTGTGTTTTTGCTGCTGTTAGCTATTGTGTTTTTGCTGCTGTTAGCCTCTGTTAGCTATTGTGTTTTTGCTGCTGTTAGCCTCTGTTAGCTAGTGTTTTTGCTACTGTTAGCTAGTGTTTTTGCTACTGTTAGCTAGTGTTTTTGCTACTGTTAGCTAGTGTTTTTGCTACTGTTAGCCTCTGTTAGCTGTTGTGTTTTTGCTGCTGTTAGCTGTTGTGTTTTTGCTGCTGTTAGCTAGTGTTTTTGCTACTGTTAGCCCCTGTTAGCTGCTGTGTTTTTGCTGCTGTTAGCTATTGTGTTTTTGCTACTGTTAGCCCCTGTTAGCTGCTGTGTTTTTGCTGCTGTCAGCGAAGGTTTCTATAAAGTGGATGTAACTGACACTTAGTGAATAAACTTTCATATCATGTGAGAATGTAATCACACTGTTTATCTGAGGGAAAGTGGGTTTTTCTTAGGACCCTCAAGCTAACAATCTGATACGTTAGCTTGTATTCAGGTGTTAGAAGGGGGGGGTTGTCCTTCCTGGCCACTGTACTCAAATATGGTGAGGGGATATGACGGCTTCCACAAACACACTCCTATGTATTTTTAACAGATTAATTATAAGTTTATCTGAATGTATCAGCTTCTTGGAAGACGTAATTACTCTGATCTATGTACAATATAAAAATAACCCCCAAAAATAGTTACTACACATTTAAATCACTTTTATGGCCTGGAAAACACCAGGAAACATAATGAACATAAACACAAGAAATGCCAACAGAGGGAACAGAGCTGAAGATTGTAAGTGCCAAATAACAGTTTTTATTTCACTCTCTTAAATTCCTTCTCCTTCAAACTGAATTGGACCTCGAAGGATCTGTAAAAACATTCACAGCATCAGGAGAAGCTTTTACATCCTACTATACAAAAAAAAACAAATACACATTGTGTGGGAGGAGTTTTATACATCATGCTGATCTTTTATGGGACATCTGCTAACGTCTCAGGCTGCAGCTCACCTCAAACAGACAATTAATGGGCGTGGCTACACCCTGAGTCAGCAGACTCATCCTCTCCTTGAACAGCGCCTTGTCGCTGAGCTCACCAGAGCCCTGAGGAAGGAGGCAAAAACAGGAGAAAACACATGGATGATCTCCAGCACAGTGAAGCAGCTGCTGAGATATGATAGCGGTGTGTTTGTGTCTCACAGAGTTCTGCAGCTTCCCCAGGTTGATGTACTCCACCGCCGCCTCAAAGGTGCTCAGACAGTAGCTGAGCTCATCTTTACTCGAGTGGCTGAAGCAGAAGTTCCTGATGTAGCTCAGGTTGGCCATCCTGAAGAAAAGACAAATTAGATCTTCCAGCTACATCTGTATTAACCCAAATGATGTTTCATAACTATAGATCATCCTCAGCAGCCTCCAGTTAGGCTTCCTTTCATTGGAAGATTAATTGTGCTTATTTATAGAGGAAAAAAAAAAAATCATGCGCTGTGGACAGTTTACTGTCAACAAACATTATGAATTCAATAAAGTAATCAAATATTGCAATAAAAAATTATGCATTTGATCATAAAACATTAACATTGATTGTTAAAGTCACTATTGGAGGCCACCGGTCCGTGTCCTCAGCTGCACAGAGCAGTAAACGCAAAAACTTCACCTCCTGCCTCATAGGGGGCGCTGCAGAGTTCAGACTGAGCAGGTTCTGCTGCAGAACAAACACAGGAACCGCTCGAGATGTTTTTAATATTAAAATGTCTCCAGGTTGTGAAGTTTGCGGCACATTAGAAAATATAAATTCCAATTATAGCAACTTTCTGTACCGTGGCATCGTGGGCACGCCCGTTATCGAAAGCTCAAAAGCATCTGATTTAACCTGCAAGAGGAAAGTGTGACCCACAAAACCTAAAAAAAATAAATGAAACTGACACAGACGCTGCCAAAATGAGATGTTAAATTTAAAAAACTGAATTTTTGGTCCAATGGTTCCAAATTTCACAAATGTGGGTGAAGCCAGTGTTATAGTTTAGCCACGCCCACATGTGAGACCTGGAGAATGTGACGGTTTGGCGCAGGTTTCAGGAATCAAGAAGGCGATTTATTTTCTGTAAATGATTACAGCACCTAAGATCGATTAGATGGTTGTGTGTATCTTCACACCGAGCAGGGCTGCGATAC